GAAGGAAGGAAGGAAGGAAGGAAGGAAGGAAGGAAGGAAGGAAGGAAGGAAGGAGGAAAGGAAGGAGGGAAGGAAGGAGGGAAGGAAGACAGGAGGGAGGGAGGCAAGAAGGAAGGGAAAAAATGGCAGGTATCTCTTGACTGATTTCCCGAGTCCTAGTTAAAGAACAGGAGGAAAATTGCTCTTGGTATTACAAGCCGATCTTCTCTGTATAGACTTGCCACTGCACTATATGTGCCATGTAAGTCTGTCAAAGGTTTTGTTGTTTTAGTTGCTGCTGTTTTAACCTTAAACTTACCTTGTAATGTGAAGTGAGGTTTTTCTAGTTGGAAGGCAATAGCTGCAGGTCGTGGTGGGAGGAGAGGAGGTCTGCTACACATGAGTGGCTCTTGTGAATTATTTTCTGGATTGTCTCCAGGAATGAACATATATAAGTCATCATACTGGTCCTCGGAACTCCCACTGTCAACCTCTGGTAGGCCGTGCTCAGCCTCTGTGCCTGATTCAGTCTCTTTTTCTTCCTCTGCTGTTTCATTCACCTCAGCTCCTTCTGCACTTTGCCTGTATGTCTGCGCACTTTCATGATGAAATGCTGGGTTCTGTATGGCTGTTGGTGATGAAGATTGTATGATTTCATTTAAACACACCATCCAGAGGCATTTTATATTTTGTAATTTCATACAGAAGTAGTAATACTGCTAATACAACTTTTATGATATAATATAGTGGAAAGATGACAAATGCATAATTTTGGTGCACAGTCATTCTTGGGCTTTTAAAATATTTAGCAAATGAACAATTAAAGTTCTGTTATATCTTGCTACCTCATTATGTGGTACACTCATAGACATAATATTCTGACTCTCTAGAGTTATTGTTCAAGTAGATTCATAGGTATGACTGCATTATTGTATTTTTATTGAAAAACAGTATAACTGACCTAATAAGTAATGAGTAAGTGATGAAAAGGCAAAGACAAGGACAAAATAAATTTTAATTTGCTTGTAAATAATGCAATAGAAATAAATCTGTGCTATCACCAGGTGATATTTTAATTCTTGAAAATATTACTTGAGAAAGTCTTAATGCTTTTTATTGATTGGTTGATTGATTGATTGATTGATGGGGAAGGCATCCAAATCACCAACAGTAATTCTTTTTAAGGCTCAGGTCTCACTTATGAAATATATTCTATCCTGAAGCTTAACCAAAGATCCAAATTCCTTCCATTCTAAGAATCATGATTCAAGCATTTGTTTTTATACTGTATACAATAAACACTCTCTAACCACTTAGGAAGAAAATAGGGAAAAGATAATATCATACAATAACTTTACATCTTAAAGATTTTGTTTATATTTTCTTTGTAAAAATTATGCTCTGAGTAAAGGATTCACAAAATTTTAAAACAAACTTTCAAATCCCTATATTTCATAGAATATGTAAATTACTGACATTGTCAGTGCAAAAGAAAAGCAAATAAATGTTTTAAAGTGCTGCTAAAGTAAACTAGAGCTAAAGAAGCTAAATAGCGGAGTATAGAAAAAAAAGATTTTTTTTTTAAATGAAGAGTTACATTGTAGAAATTTTTCAGCAATGGAAAAAGAATTAGTCATACCAAAAATTATGGAAACCTGGAAATACCACATATTTCTACATGGAATTTTATTTTTTTATTTTTCTCTTCTTTCATGTGAGAAGGAAGAAAGATATAGCTGCCAGTCTTAGAGCTGCCAACCGAGATTCTTTAATTACCAGTGGGGGCAGAGCAGACAGCCTTTTATTCTTGCACAGATCTCTACATAGATTTCATTCACCTTTCTACTTCTAACACCAAACACTGGGCCCAAAACAGAGTAGTCTATAGAAATGCTGATGGAATAGATGATGGAGTGACCGAAAAGAAACTATTGCTTAGGCTAACAAGGGAACTTTGCTATTTCTGTCTAGGCAAATTGATCATCATCTTAGAATTACATTTACACTATAGGAAATTACCGGTAGCCATCCTTATGTTCATATGTTCAGTGATTATGTTTTATGTATACACTATCTTAGCAATGGAGTCTCTTTAGTCCTTATTAAATGTGCCTAAACCTGGAATCCAGCTCCGGAGAGTCAGGTAGTAAGTCAGTGGGTTTTAGCAGGCTTTGTTGTAATGTGGAACCAATGGAAACTTGACTTAGGGTGTTCTATGCTTCACCCTCTCTTCCTTGAAAAAGACTGAGGCCTGAGTCTGATTACATTGTGTTTCACATGAGACAATTCTAGATCCAAACTGTGTGTAAAAATGAGGTTGTTCTGTACAAATAACTGAAATGATGTTTTCTTACTATAAGCAGTTCTGAGGATTAAATGTCATAATGAATATATGGTAATTATCAAAGATGGCCTTTATCATCAAATTTATTATCACTATAAAGGATAATAAAATATATAACTATAATTTAGTGAATTAATTTCTTACCTTAATATATAGCATTATTTTGTGTTCTGCAATAATGTCAGAAGGAGTTTATTGATTTTGCCATTGTATGCTAGTTAAGGCACTGCATTTAATTTTGATTTGCAGGCCAGCCTATCATTTGAAAAACTGGTGGTCAATAAAGTTTAGTTGAGTATCAACCGTGCACTGTTAAAAGTGCAAATGCCAAGAGCATGCTTGATGTGTGAGCTGTCACTGTGGCTGTAAACAAGCAGGAGAGATCAGAGATAGAGATGTAGTGCATTGCAGGCAATGATAAGGATGATAAGTACAATGAGAAGGTGCTGGAGGATTTGGAGCAGAAGAGTGATTAGTTCCTTCATGAAGCATAGAGTATTCGGGGTGGCAAATGTGGGAACTGCTACTTCAGAGTTTCTTAAGAGCAGTGCTATTGACATGTTGGACTGGGTACTCCTGTGTTGTGTGGGGCATGTCCTGTGCATTGTAGAATTTTGGCAGGATTTCTGTTGTCTCTACCCTGTAAATGCCAGTTGCAAACCTCCTTTCTCAAGTCTTAACAATAAAAAAAAATCTCCATTTATTGATAAATATCCTCTTGTGGGGGAAGAAAATAGCTCTCCCTTGATAGCCACTGTGCTACTGCAATAATCCAGGGAGAGCTATTGACGGCGTGGACTGGGATAAATCACAATGAAAGGGGCAGAAATGGTTGAAAGCTGCTCCATTTTGAAGGTAGAGTCAACAGTGTTACCTGACAGATTGGCTATGGGTTAGAAGAAAAAGTAAAAAAGCCAAGGGTGACCAAGGTTTTTGGGACTAAGTTGACCAAGGACAGTCTTCACTGGCTGAAATGGGGAAGTCAGTAGGTAGAGCAGGTTAGGAATGGCACAAATTAGGGTTGTCAGATTTGGAAATGTTAGGGAGATGTGTATCAGACATGCTGGTGAAGATGTTCAGTAGGTTGTTGTATACCAAGGAAATCGCAAGGGCAGAGTGACATATACGTCCAAATACTCTGAATGAATCCTCAGACATTAGAAATATAGAATTAAATCCTATTGCAGCCAGTGAAGTCCTTAGAGAGTATCTGTCCTAGTTCAGCCTTCTCATTTCCTAGCTGAGAAAACTAACATCTGAAAAGAATGTGACCTTGTATAAAAAAAACTGTAAAAATATAGTTGTCAAATAGAGTATTTATATCAGTCTGATGTGTATTCTCTCTAGCTAGGAAAAACTGGTGTTTGATGCTTAAATGCTGAACTTCTTAGAAGTATTTAAATTAGAAAGGTAATTTAGTAATCTCTGCCATATTATAAATTCAGTCAGTCAGTTAACTGCTTTTCCATGCTCTCTTCACTCTTATTTATTCAGTTACATATATGTATCATGAACATCATATATATACATATGTACATAACATATAGGAACACTTACTGGGAAAATATGTAGCAAGTGAGGTAATGTTCTTTTTATTGTCATTTTCTTGCTCACTATTTCTGCTAATTTCTTGGATCTGAAAAAAAATGAATGCAATGTTAAATAATATGCATTAATCTTAATAATCTACATTTTATCTATTCCAAGTGGAAAGCTGATACCTATAGAAATAAGAAATAGTTTTAGAGTTTTTATTTAAATACTTTGATTATATTACCTATCTTATATTTGTGCAATCTATGATTTCTCCATGACACATAGTATTAAAAGTATAACTGGGGCAATAGAACATCTAAAATAAGCAATAAGTTGATTTAAAAATAAAATTTATTGCAACTACTTTAAGATTAAAAGCAAGAATCATAAAATTACATAGGTGTAATAACTAATTCATGAATAAAATTGAACACGACTATTTCTTTTAAAAACCATGAGCTTTACTTCTTTTTAATAGTTCTGTATTTTTTACCTGTTCAAAAGATATTCTTAATTACATCAAGTATTATAACACAGTGAAAGACAGTGAAATTTTAAAGTGGGTTATTTTCCATCTTTAGAAAGAAAAAGAAAACCGAGTAAGGGAATTTATGCTTGTCTTTCTGAAATCAGTTTCACTACTCGTAGAAGGGGGAAATACTGAGAAAGGTCAGAAACTTGTTATTTCTGGAATTGCTAGTCTTTTTTTACAATCTTTGAAAGAGACACGGGGTCTACATTCATGAAACGTATTTGTGCTCATAGAGAAAGCTAAGTAATACCAGTGACAGCTCTTTTTGTGCAAAAGCATCTGGCTGCTTCATTCACTTCTCTTCTCTTCTCTTCTCTTCTCTTCTCTTCTCTTCTCTTCTCTTCTCTTCTCTTCTCTTCTCTTCTCTTCCCTTCCCTTCCCTTCCCTTCTCCTCTTTCTTTGTCTTTCTGTCTTTTCCTTCCTTCCTTCCTTCCTTCCTTCCTTCCTTCCTTCCTTCCTTCCTTCCTCCCTTCCCTTACCTTCCCTTCCCTTTTTCTTTTCTTTTTCCTCTTGCTTTCCTTTCTCTTCTCTCTTTTCTTTTCTTTTGTTAAATTAATGCTGTCCAGAGAAGCAGCATAGTTTTTGATTTCCAGCGGAATCGTAAAAATAAAAGTCTCTTTAATATTTTATTTTAGTGAGCTTGATGCAGAAACTCGTTTTCTATTTAAGTCATATTTTCCTTTGGCAGAATTCGATCAAATGATAATATGAAAATCGTATAACTTAACGAGGGAGGTTGACATGTTGATTAATATTTGCATGCTTTGGTATTAAAAGCATTGTTTAATACAGCCATTTATTATTTCCAATTAGCTTGACCTCTACATACCATAAGGTAGAACAAGAATATAATAAAAAAGATCCGTAAGACTATTAAAATCATATTAAGGAAGGTTTTACTATTTGAAAAACAGGAATTGTTTTCAAAGATTTCAGAAATTACATAAAAGTTTCCTATATACTATTCATAAGCCTAGACATTATGAGCTTAAGATCACTGTGAATTAATAAACAGACTGTGAACAAGTGTGTGTGTGGGTATAGGTGTGTGGACTGAGGTTGAAGCTTAATGGAATTATTTTTGTGTCATAACTTAAGCTATATGATGTTTGTACAAACAAACAAGCAAGCCCAAAAGTTACTTGAAAGAATTAACTTTTAAATTTAAAAAATAGCCAAGTTTGACTGATTTGAGTATTTTAATAAATATTATATAAAATTGATATTTTGTATAATCAAGCTATGCAGAGAATACGTTTTCTCAGCAGTGAAAGGATCTTTAGAAATATTTACGCTAAAAAAACAAATGTTTCTTACTCAAGTTCCATATACTTACAACCACATTTATTTTGAAAAATGTTAGCTCTAATGATATATTAATAACTGTCTAATGAAATCAATGATGGCTTTAAAAACAATGAATTATAGCTCTCTTTATTTATCAGTTGTGTGCAATTGGGTAAGATACTTTAAATCTCAATATTCTATCCTACAAAATGTGGATAGTAATATCTCTGCCATCAATTTGCTGGGAGGTTTAAATTAGAGTAATGTAAACAAAACATGTATCACATAGTAAGTGCTCAGTAAATGTAATCTGCACATGTTGGTTTTTTCTTCATCATACAAAATATAGATCTACATTTAAGCAAGCTTGGTAACTTTGTCAGTTTGATGAAGGAATCATCAATATAAACCAATAATTATTTAACTTATGTCCTCTCAACTGTAATTTTGGAAGTTCTACCACAACAGAAAAAGAGCTGCAATATGAATTTTCTATCTGATTAAAGCATGGCAGTATGATTTTGTTATTAAAAACACCTCTATAATTTACAAGCTAATAGAGATAAGAATCAGGGGGAAAAATATGTTATTCTTTAATAAGCCTTTTCCTAGGGCTGGAGTCTGGCTTTATTTCCTTATTTATTAAATATTTATACAGGCCTGTTATATGCTAATTGCTCTGTTAGCAATTAAGAAAAATAAGCTAAAAATAAAAATGACAATTCTCATTCTCAAAAATATCACACTTTTATTGGGAGAGAAAAAATAATAAAATAATTAGAAAAATATATTATTTATTTCGTTACAATAAACTGAGTTCTTACAAATGAAATAGGGAATTAGAAATAATCAGATAACCAGGTCACAGTTTTATTCATTTGCTTTTTGGGTGAAGGGATTGGATTTAAAAATCACCTTAGGTGTCATGCTAAATGAAATAAGTCTGACAGAGAAAGACAAATACTGCATGATTTTACTTATGTGGAATCTAAAAAAAAAAACACACAAACAAATGAACAAAGAAAAGAAAACAAAAACAGACTCATAGAAACAAAAAACAAACTGAAGGTTGCCAAAGGAGCTGAGGGTGGAGGGGGAAGGTGAAAGGGAAAAAAGTCAATAATATTGTGATAAGTTTGCATGGTGACAGATGATTATTAGACTTAGTGTAGAGGTTACATGGTGAGATACATACATGCTGCATCACTATGTTGTACACTTAAAACTAATAGAATATTGTATGCCAGCTATACTTTAATAAAAATTTTTAAAAATTATCTTGACACTTGCCTTATTCCCACTTCTCTAAATAAAAAACCCAGCTTAAACAATAAAATTTATTAGCTGAACATGCTCAATGTAATAATCGAGCCCATAGATAGTCTTTGCAGTACACAGCGTTTAATAAAGTTAAAATCATTATCAAAAATAAATTAAAACTAAAACTTGTTGACTGAGGTATAGAAAGCTCCACATGCTTTTGGCATCTAGTACTGAACAAATTGATCATAATATCCTGATTTGGGGGGAGTGAATAAAAACAATCTTCACATGGCAGTTGTTTTCCAAATTTTTTAATGAGATTCTAAAGCTATTATAATTAGCCCAACTCCTGCCTAACTTCCCACCGTGTTGATTACAAATGATTCTGCCAGCTTCAAAGTCCATGGCAGTGTGTGGAGTGAGAATAAGAAGATACATATATGTTTGAAGAGTAACAAATTGATCCTGTAATCTTTTATATATTATTCAAAATGAATGCACTAGCCTATAGAATCTGAGATAATATTTCAATTGAAATAATAAAGACTATTTTACTAAAGGTTAAGAATAATGAACACTGTTATACTAAAGCCTTGAAAAACAGCGAACAGAGTTTCAAAACACGTTGTAGAAGTAACTATTTTAGCTCTCATTACATTTTAAAAGAGAATTTATTTCTCCTTGGCCACCTAGGAAAATAGTTCAAAAGCAGATTTATATAGTTTCTCATGAAAGTTTCTTTGTATATTATAGGAATTATAATCTTGAATGTAAAAATTAAATAGGAACTCTAACCATGAGTGAGAGAGGCATGAAGTAGAATAAAGTAGAGGTGGAGCTGTTAAACTCAGGGAGAATAAGTGGACATTTTCCTTGGTATGGGCCAAAACTTAGAATAACCTGAGGAAATATGCTATTTTTTTTTTTAGACAGAATCTTTTTATAGAAAATTAAGTAATGAAAAGACGCTTTGACCAGGAGGACAAAGGCTAGAAATCTCATTATACACCGTGAGAAATTCAGTTTTCTAATTGTGACCAACCAGCGCAATCTGGGGACGTGGA